GACTTCTCGTTACATATTAGTACTTACAAATATGTAATACATATGGGACATATTATTAATACACAAGGGTACTTATACACAAAGGTACTTGCATAGTACATGTGGCACATGTTATACATATACATAAGTGCTTGCGTATTTGTAATCCATATTGTACATATTCGTAATACATAAAGGTAGTTTTATACACACTATATGGTAAACATGTGGACGCCTGACCATTACACCTGTACAAGCTTGTTGGACAGCCTTTTCCAAAACCATGGGCATTAATGTGGAGTTTTATGGCTATAACAGCCTCCACTCTTCTGGAAAGGCTTTCCTCAAGATTTTGGGTCTGTGGGAATTTGTGCCCAGTAAGTCAAAAGAACATTTGTGAGGTTAGACACTGATGCTGGTTTAGAAAACCTGGCTCACAATCAATATTCCAGTTCATCCCAAAGGTGTTCAGTGGGGTTGAGGTCAAGGCTCAGTTCCTCCACACCAGTCTTGTCAAACTGTGTCTTCATGGACCTCAGTTTGTCCACAGGGGCGGGGTCATGCTGGAACAGGAAATGGCCATCCCCAAACTGTTGCCACAAACTGTTGTGTAAAATATCTTTGTGTGCTGTAGCATTAACATTACCCTTCACTGGATCTAAGGGGCTGAGCCCAAACCCTGAAAACAGCCCCAGACCATTATCCCCCCTCCGCCAAACTTTATTTTTGGCATTGTGCATTCTGCTAAGTAGTGTTCTCTTGGCATCCAACACATTTCCACTGCTCCCGAGTCAAGTGGTGGCACACTTTACACCAACCCAGCTGATACTTGGCAGTGTGCATAGTGGTCTTAGGCTTGTGTGCAGCTGCTCGGCCGTGGAAACCCATTTCACGAAGCTCCCAACGCACAGTTCTTGTGCTGATGTTGCTTCCAGGGGCAGTGTGGAACTCTGTAGTGAGTAATACAACATTTTACACACCTCATATACTTGTTAGCAATGGGTGTGGCTTAAACTCCTGAACTCAGTGATTGTCTGTAATAATCCCCTCCTTCTCTCTGTGTATATATATATATATATATATATATATATATACACACATTACCTACTTATAAAATATATGGGTCATAATTTTATTACGTGTAGCTATTTCCATATACATAGTACGCAGTGGGACATTATGTATGACCCCACATTTGAACACTGTATAAAAACAAACCTGTGTGTTAGTGCATATACTGCTGCATGCATTCATATGCTTGTCACCGCTATTCAGACTGCTCTCTTAAGCACTTGCGCATTTGTAAGCGACAGTAATAAAAACAGACTCAGCGGCTTATCTCTTGCGGATGAGGCTTTTTGGAGACGAGGAGCTGTGGCAGGGATATCTCCCCCAGTGAGAGAGACTTTACCTGGGCAAGAGGAGTGAGGGGCTCCCCCTCACACCCTCCACCTCCATCCTCACACCCAGCTTAAGCCACCAATCCATGACACTCCACTCCAATCTCGCATTCATTTATTCCTAAGCCTCGGGGAGAGATAGCGGCGTGTTCTCATTGCATATTCCACTTTTTATAAACGCATTGTACGTTTTTATTTTATCCGACATAAACATTCCGGAAGGCTTGGGGGGGAGGGGGGGGGGTACTGTAAACCAGCCTAACCACTTCATCTGCGGTGGCACACCATTTAATTAAGGAGACGCACACGCAATAGCAATATCCAAACCCTGGCACTGCTGTCTGTGTCTTATTCAGTCTTGCTGGAGGTGGGATATCGTTGCCTTTTTGTTCATTCAAGATTACAGCTAATCCGTTTTAGCCTTGAGAGTTGCAGAAAAACATGCGAGGGTTCACAGGTGCTGGTTCTGAGGTGTAATAAGGAGAAACGAGAATTTAGTGGAGAGCCAGGGTCAAGAGACTAGACCGATAGAAGAGTCGAGATGGAAATGTGGGTAGAGGAGTGAGATGAAAATGAACAAGAGAAAGGCTCCCATACTGAGACACTGGAATGAACTCTCCTCATATTTCCCCCTTCAGAGACTAATAGGTGAGAGTGGAGGATTATATGAGCTCAGCGAGTGTGAAATGTTAAAATTAACTGAGAATCCGAGGGAATTTAACGGCGAGATTTTGCATGATGGCTTCTGATCCCAGCGTTTTTCTCGCTCTCTTTTCTTCAATTATTCTTCTTTCTCTCCATCGCTCACTCACTATTCCGACTGGGAATAGTGGTAGTAATTATCCCCCAGAATGAAATAGCCTCAGCCGTTTCCACCTGCGTTTGGCATTAGGGCCGAGAGTGAAATTTTAATGCCAGCGTGCTGGCTGTTTTGTGGCACCCTGGCTCTAATTGTTTTATATGCCAGTTGAGACTGGGTGATGATAAAGATGTTGCAAATTAAAAATTCAAGCCCCAGAATAATGATCTCTAAAAATGCCATGCAGAATGTAAATGGTAATTCATTAATAAACGTGAATATATTTATTGCTTAGTTATATGGTTACAATGCATCATTAGTAGGTTATGAAAGGTTTTAAATAAATTAAATGCTTTGGTCAAAGAATGCTTTTTTTCATTATAATGTAGCACAGAAACCTTTTCTTCAAGCGCTCCTTCCTCTTTCCATGCTCCTGTGTTCATCTGACCGAATGCTTCTTTTCTTATTATGATTGAGCAAACGGTCGTTATTTAAAACCAAGGGCTTGCTCATTTTAATCAGTCAGAAGTGACCATTTGTCACTTCTTTTGGAAAACCTTCTCCAGTCTGACAGAGTACTTTGAAACGTAGACCCTGATACATCAGGAGGGGCAGCTCCTCTGAAACGCGTAGTAGAAACCTTTAGCGGCCGCACAATAGTTAAAGCTGTTGAAGTTGTAGCTGCTGATGTGGCTCTGTTATGTGTTTGATGGGGTGATGTGCTCAGTAGATAAAGTGAAATGGAGGCAGAATAACCTGCTTCACGCTGCAGTCTGTTTCTCACCTTTTCACTCTCTTACTATCTCTCTCTCTCTCTCTCTCTATCGATCTGTTTGTCCCTTTGTCTCTCTCCTGCTCCCATTCTCTCTCTTCTCTCTTTCTTCTATCTCTCTCTGTCTGTCCTGCTTTCTCCCTCTCTCTCTCTCTGCCTCTCTCTTTCTCTCTCTCTCTCTCACTCTCTGCCTCTCTCTCTGTCTCTCTCTCTTTCCCTCTCTCTTCTTCTCTTTGTCTCTTGTATATTTTTCTGTTGCCCTCTCTCTCTCTTTCTCTCTCTCTCCCTCCCTCTCTCCCTCTCTTTGTTTCTTGTATCTTTTTCTGTTTCTTCTCTCTCTCTCTCTCTCTCTCTCTCTCTCTCTCTCTCTCTCTCCCCCTCTCTTTGTTTCTTGTATCTTTTTCTGTTTCTCTCTCTCTCTCTCTCTCTCCCCCCTCTCTCCCTCTCTCTCGCGCTCTCTTTGTTTCTTGTATCTCTCTCTCTCTCTCTCTCTCTCTCTCTCTCTATTTCTTCTATCTTTTTTTCTCTCTCTGTCTCTCTCTCTGTCTCTCTCTCTCTCTCTCTCTCTCTCTCTCCCCCTCTCTCCCTCTCTCTCTCTCTCCCTCTCTCTCTGTGAGCAGTAATTGCAGTTTGAATGCCTCTGCTTGTCTCACTGGATAAAACTTTACTGCGGCTCACAAACTCTGCTGCGCTACAGTGACGAGCTGATGGAGGCGCAGACCCACTTTAATGGCTTTATTTAACAGGGTTGTAACCGTGGTCTTCCGCAGCCTCCTCCTCCATCGCTTAAGACAGAAGGTGCAGCAATACCTTTTCATCTGAGAGTCTCGAAAAGTTGTTTAAATTAGCATAAACTGTGCAGTAGCTTTCTGCTCTAACAGTGTTGGAAAAAATATACTGACCCTTGAAAGTGAAGAGTTATTGTCTGTTTGAATGTAGTGGCATAATAATACAACTAACTGCGTAGTTTATATGAAGAATTATACTTATATTCAGTTTGATTCTACACATCTCGCTTTATTTCTGTTTGTATTGATGTCAACAAAAGACAAATAGACAACAAAGTGCACACAAAATAAGAGTTTATACACAACAGTAATTGAATAGTTTTATTCCAAAATGCTGTATATCCATTAGTAACAGCTGATGTATAGTGGAGAACACATTCTTATTTTTCTAATAACAGTAGTATGAATCATAATATAGCATTGATATTTCTTGTTTGTATAAAGCCCATTCCCACTAATTTATATATTAAAAAAAGATTCAGGATTATTGAAAGTGCTCTGTAATGCATTTTGGATTTAAACTCTTCAATTGTCATTTTCAAATCATAATTAAATATGAAAAGGATTGAAAGTGTGTTTTGAAAAGAATATCTGTGTGTTTCAAAAAGCTAATTCATCCTTAATTTCACTATGGCTTTTAACTGTGACTTTAAAGGGGCTTAAAGGGGAATTCCATTGATTTTTCTTTTTTTTAACATTTCTGCATAATTAAATGGTTTAAGTTGTAAACAAAGTCATTCAGAGTGGTTTGATGTGAAATGCTCTGTTCTCGAGAAACTTATCAAGTCAGAATTGTTCACAGTTGTGGTGATAAGAACCAGATGTCTGAAGCTTGCCTCTAAAAGCTCCCTCACGGAAAGTTATTTACACAAAATGGTTATGAATGAAAGACTTGGTTTTACAATAGTTTTGCCGTAAGGTTTTGGTGTAAGACCTATTTTTAAAATCAATTCATTGTGGAGAGGGACATGAAGGGTGTTGTGAGGCAAAATAGTCCCCATATAAAATTTATTTTCAAATTTACCACTGTTTTATCATTATCAGCATGACATATAAAAACTCAGAAGACAAGTGGGTTCACTGGTGGTTTCGGTTAGTAAATAAAAAGCCTGTTTTTGCCTTGACTTCATAAAATTTTGGTGGAATTCCATTTTTAAGGGGATGCATGAAAAGTTTGAAACCTTTCTCTCTCTCTCTCTCTCTCTCTCTCTCTCTCTCTCTCGCTCTCTCTCTCTCTCGCTCTCTCTCTCTTTCTCTATTAGAACATGGAATACTACCAGCAGACATCACAGATGTACAACAAGGCAGCAACTAAAGCTGAGGGCAACATCAAGTAAGTGTAGTAACAACCCTTCCACTCCTAATCCATAATCCAGAGGCACCACTGGGAGGCAGAAATACAGAGAATGCCGTTGATGAGAATTTTAATTAACAGTGACATAGATGGCTGGTTTAGCCAGACGTTCAGGGAGGTTCTGAGTGGGTTTCCTCAGAGGATCTTTCTCTCTCTTTCTCTCTCTCCTTCCCTTCCCTTCACTTTCCCTGTGACTTCTCCATTTCTTTTCCTCTTTCTCGCACATTTGCACACCCTTCACATTAAACTGCATCTGACTAAAAGTTTAAGCCTGTAACTGAAAACAGGCTAAGATGAGTTTGTGCTGGTTGCCATGACGTTTCTTGCACATTCTCTATATTTGCTATTCTCTGTATCCTCATACAGCGTTAAGGAATGAGTCACCAAGCTAACTGTGAATAGAATGGCATCAGTTACAGATCTGACGCCTGAGCTTGTGTGAGTGTAGTTGTGCTGCATAGCACACTGGCTTTGTGGTCAGTAGAGAGATGGATAACCGAAGCCAATTAGGCTGCACATACTCTGCTGTCTCTTCACGCAAACACATTCATTACAGCAGGCAAGGTCACCATTTTCTGCGCGCTCACACATGCACACAGCAGGCTTACACAGTGCTATGAAAGTATTTTTCACTCTTTATAGTTTCTCAGGCTCCTCACTACATTTCATTTCATCTCGCTGGCTCTTGCCCCTCTCTCCAGCATTCCTATTCTGTGTTTCGTTTACTTTTTCACACTCTGTCTCTCTCCCTCTCAGTTATCTCCATCTACTGTCCCACCACTGAGGTGGAATGAGAGAATATTGAGTGAGTAGATGAAACCCTTCATCAGAGTATAACGCCGCTTATCTTGTGCCAGGACACAGCTGGCTGCAGTAATCCTGTAGTATCAGCCCAGATTCTGATCCAGCATCTCCACACCCATGGTGGATGTGATGTTAATGAACTCCAGTAGTAGTGGTGTGATGATGCATGCACAGTGGGGAGACCACATTAAAAAATCAGGATTTTTTTTTTAAATTGTAAACTTTGAAATAAGTAAACAAAAAGTTTTATAACGTTAAAAAAATTAAGTAATTGTAAAATTCATGTAAATATTTCAAGGATGCTATTTTTACTTAAATTGTTATATTGATTATGTAATTTGTTATGAAAACAGTATATGAAATTTCGAAAATAATTAAAAATGTCAAAATTCAGAAGAATTTTCAGTAGAGATCACAGATGTTTGGACTCCAATATATTTTCAGGTCCAGTTCAGAGCTCAGGACTTCGATTTTCAGTATTTTATCTGAGGGTTTAAAACAGAATTCTGCTCTGATATTTTAACATTTCTGTTCTTGCATTCCAGCCTCAACATTGCATTCCTAAACCAGTTTAAAGAAAATGAAACATTTATTAATTTGTCAATACCTCCAAAACAGTTAAACACACACCAGCGGCAAAACATCTGAGCAGGGAGAATCAGAGACTTTATTAGTTATATATGTAGCAAGATAATGTAATACACAGCAGTAACGCATGGTTAACACATACCAATAAACTATAATAATCCAATAATCAGATTATAATCGGATTTCTGCAGTTGTCTGATTATTTAAATGGTCATGTAAACAACATACTCAGATTTCTTAGATCGTAGTAAGGTCTAAAAATCTGATAGGGAAATCTCAGTGCATGTAAACTCTTACTCTTATTTCTTTCTCAGTCTCTGCATGTGCGAAAACAGACAGCGGTACTGGAAATAAGCAAGCAGCGTTGCCACAAGATGGCAACAAAACACTTTTGGAGCAATGCTGAAACCCATTACATGCTTGACAAATGAAGGATTTAAATATTTTGAATCTACTGGATGATGTATGTTCATATTTTCAGGTAGAGTAGTGCAATGTTTTTTAACACAGGAAATTTGCTAAAGACCAAAAATCACTAAAGAATCAGTCATCACATGCCATTAAGTCTTGGTACAAAGTACGTCTTGATGACTCATGGTTGAGGCCTGTTTGAACATAATAGAAATGAACTTGATACAGTGTTCATAATGGGTACTAGACTTTATCAAGGACATATTGTTTTCACCCAATAGATTTTATTTTCAGTCAGTTAACACTATCACACCACAGTTAATGGTGGAATTTGCTTTGCCACCTATTAAAACTAATGTCACATATACTGTCTCTTTCAAATCACCGGATAGATATGTGCGCTTGTTCATAGATTGCATCATATTGGTTTGATATTAGGCTCTGACCAATATTTAGTAGTGGGATAATGATACATCAGTTAACCAGTATACAGGATGAATGTACACATTTATGGCTCTGCACATTTAAAACAAATATTAATACAGGTGTTATTAAGATTTGATGGAAATAGGTGAGAGCCAATGTTAATAATCTATCATAATCTCATAGTAAAAAGATCGTAATCCCCTGATAATGTTTCATTTGATACATTGCCTCAGCATTTATGTAATAAATCTAAAAAGACGGCTGATCCAGACAGAGAAATGTTGGTTATCGGTACGGTACTGTGTCAGAACAATAAATGAATGGTGTCAGACACTCTCAATTCACTTGACAGTTGCATCAGATTGTCTATTACCTTATCTGTCGCCATATTTGTAGTTCATTTTTTGGCTTTTTACATTGATTTTCTGTCTTTTCTCTCAGGCCCAGGAATACAGTTCCCATCTGTCCTGAGCTGCAGTCTCAGGTGTTGAACTGCTATAAGGAGAACAGACACCAGACTCTGCACTGCTCCACACTGGCAAAGGAGTACATGACCTGCATTAACTCTGCCAAGAAGGTGCGTGTGTCTGTCTGCATATACTCACTGTCCACTTTATTACATACACCTACATTGTCCATTTTATCAGATCCACTAGCATTTAGTTGCATTTTGTAGTTTTATAATTACAGATTGTAGTCCACCTGTTTCTCTTTATAGTTTTGAGTCTTCAATAGCCATCAATGGTCAGGACCCTCCACAGGACCACCACTGAGCAGGTATTATCTGGTTGGTGGATCATTCTCAGTACTGCAGTGGCATGGTACTGTACTCTTACTGTCCACTCTATTAGACAGGCCTGCCTGGTTTGTCCACCATATAGATTAGGGATGCTCAGTGATGTCAGTATCATACTGGTGTCAGCAAATATTTGCATTAAAAAATCTTGGCATAGGTTAAATGTTTATATCTGATTGATATTTCAAACCAATACTTGATGACATATTTATTGTATTCCAGAAGAACTTTAAAGCTATAATGGGCTACTGCACTAAAATGTCTGTATTTTATAAATGTACTGTGTAATCTTAGATAAATAAATGTTATATTTCTCTGTAATGCTAATCCTGATGGATTTGTTTGTTTGAATGTTTATGTATCAGCATTGGTATCAGTGTCGGCATCCCCACATATATATGTGACAAATGTTAGATATCAGCTCACAATTCCCAAATCAGTGCACCTCTATTGTAGATTCAAAATTAGAGACGATAGCTGCTATGTTGCTGCACAGTTTGTGTTGGCTGTCCTCTAGACCTTCATCAGTGGTCAGTTTCTGGTCACAGGATGCAATTGGCTGGATGTTTTTTGTCTTTGGCTATTCTCAGTCCAGCAGTGTCACTGACTTGATCTGATCCTGATCCACTCTGTGCAACACATGACACTTAGATATCACTACCACGTCAGTGTCACTGCAGTGCTGAGAATGATCCACCACCCAAATAATACCTGTTAAGTGGTGGTCCTGTGAGGATCCTGACAAATGAAAAACAGGGTAAGGGGTGCTAAAAAATGATACAGAGTAATGGATAGACTGCAGTCTGTAGTTGTAGAACTACAAAGTGCACCTGCTTGGTAAGTGACCTGATAAAATGGACAATGGGTACAGATACAAGGTAAGTGTACCTAACAAAGTGGCCAGTGAGTGTATTTGGGTGCATATTTGTGTATATATTTTAATGTGTTTATAGTTAACGCTGATGGCCATAAGCTCATCTTGAATGCCGCTTTCCTGTGTTGAAGCCACAGTCCTAAAAATGTGCATTTTTTGTGCTAATGTGCGAGAGGACGTTTGTGCCTCATGAAATGTGTTTTGATAATTTTCACTGGGGATATTGAAATGCATTGGCCTTTATTATCTTTAGTGTGTGTGTGTGTGTGTGTGTGTGTGTGTGTGTGTCTGACGCGTAAAGCCTTTTATCTCTGTGTACAACACAAGGCTCCTTTTAATACAGGCTCACTCATGCATTTTGCAGAGGGAGAGAGAACAACAGCTTTCATTAAAGACAATCTGTGTGTGTGTGCGTGAGCGCGTGCGTCTGTCTGTGTGTATGAGCTTATTGCACACGTGTCTCAAAGACTGCGCGGGTGAACGGTCGAGCCCTCGAGCTCTAAGGCTGGCGTGTGGTGTGGCACGATGCCAACTAGAGCGGGCAAGCTGCCAGCCATACAGCTTCTGAACTGCAGCAGAGTCTAGTACTAAAGAGAGCCTGGAATATCAAGGTCTTGTGCTAAAGAGAGACTGGAATATCAGAGTCTAGTGCTAAAGAGAGACCAGATATTAGACATTAGAGAGAGACCAGAATATCAGAGTGTAGGGCTAATTAGAGACCTGAATATCATTATGTATTGCTAGAGACCAGAATATTAATCTAATGCTAGAAAGAGATCAGAATATTAATCTAATGCTAGAAAGAGACCAGAATATTAATCTAATGCTAGAAAGAGATCAGAATATTAATCTAATGCTAGAAAGAGACCAGAATATTAATCTAATGCTAGAAAGAGACCAGAATATTAATCTAACGCTTAAGAGAGACCAGAATATCACTATTAATTCAAAACAGAGACTAGAATATAAGTGTCTAATGCTAAAGAGAGAAGAATATGTCAGAGTCTGATTTTAAACAGAGACTTTTCTGAGTCTTTTTCTGAACAGAGAGCAAAATATAATGGCCTAGTGCCAATGAGAGACCAGAATTAGGGTCTGATGCTACAAAAAGACCATATAATCAGTGTAGAACCAAAAATAGACCAACATATTAGAGTCTGTTGCTCAAGAGAGACCACAATATCAAAGTCTAATGCTAAAGAGAGACTAGAATATCAGAGTCCAGTATCAAAAAGAGACCAGAATATCAGATATTCACACTAAAGAGTCTAATGCTGTTAAAGCCTAATGCTGATGAGAGACCTGAGTATTATAGTTATATGCTAAAGAAAGACTGCAGTATCAAAGTTAAGTGCCAGAGAGAGACCAGAATGTTAGAGTCTAATGCTAAAGAGTTGAGTACTATTAGAGCCTAATGCTGAAAAGAGACCTGGATATTAGAGTTTAATGTTAAAGAGAGACTGCAGAAATGAAGTTGAACGCTAAAAACAGACAAGAAGATTAGAATCTAATGCCAAAGGAAGACCAAAATATCAGAGTCTACGGCTAAAGAGAGACCAAAATATCAGGGTCAGATGCTAAATAGAGGCTTAAATTAGAGAATATTAGCATCTAAAGCGGGAAGACCTGAAAATCATCATCTAGTGATATAGTTTTAATATGGACATAAACGTTAGAGTGTAATACCAAAGAGAGACCAGACCAAAAATGTAATGCTAGAAAGAGATCGACATCAGTCTAGTACCAAAAGACTACAATATCAAAGTCTAGTGCTGAAAATAGAGCAAAAAGTAGTGTCTAGAGCTTGAGGAAGATTAAAGGAATATAATTCATTTATGAGAGGAGATGGTGCAAAATGAGAGGAGTCATGAGGGGAGACGATGCAAAAGAGAGAGCAGTCATGAGGGCAGGCAGTGCAAGAGAGAGCAGTAAATATTCCAACAGCATGACCTAGAAAGGGTTCCAGGCAGCGCACTGTTGCACACTGCGCATTAATTCTGTGTTGTGCTGAAGAGAAATGCCCTGACTTACATGCTAAGGATAAGGAATTTAATCTGTCATCATTTGCTTGACATTTTTCTTTGTTCCTGCTGCCCAAATAGCAGATAAACATAACAGATAACAGAATGTAGACTAGATTAACCCCTTAAATCCCAGGCTTATTACATACAAAGGCTTATTATTTAGTAACTGCAGGGACTTCAGTGCAGACTGGCTGAGCTGTTCTTAACTTATAGATGTGTGTAATAAAACTTTGGGCCCACCAGCAGGCCCTGGCTATTTGAAGGGGTTAACTTGTTCTGTTGACTAGATGAAGTTACCCCATTACCCGTTTCCCATATGCAACCCATCCTGGCACTCCAGAGAGATTAAAGCATTGATGTCATAACTGTACCAAAAAGAAACCACTTACAGTCACATATGACCATTACCACTACTGTGATAGATCGCATAATGTTTCTGAAAAGGAAAAAGAGATGTCGTTAAGAGAAATAAAAAGGGAAGCAGGGCTAAAAAAAGACATGCAGAGGCATAAACATTAAAATGTAATGTATCAGTGACATTTCCTTTGGCATGCTGGGCATATATTTCAGGCATATCTCTGGGTGCCTGACTATCATACTCATATATTTAGTGAGTCTGACAGGTATTGTTTCAGCCTTCTTCTTCCTAAGCTGTGGAAATGTTAAGACTGTCCACGGGAACCACACCGCCCGTGATATTATCTCACTGTATTATCTCTTCTTCGACACTATCCATTCCTATGCCTGCCTTGTCTTAAGGATATCTCATTGTACTTTTCCGCTCTCTGAGCGCAGCTGCTGTAGTTCTGTCACAGGATGCTGCCGGTTTGTTGTTTGATAATTTGGGCAGCAGGACCAAAGAGAAATGTCAAGCAAATGACGGGTTTCATTCGTTTGCTTTTTTCTCGTTCTTTGTCTTTTGTCATTCTGTTTCTCTTTTGATCTTCGCTCCCCGTAACCACCTCCCCCCATCTTCTCTGACTGGCTGGTTATTTTTTATCCTCCCTTTGCTCTGTGTTGTGGGTAAAGCCTTTCATAAAAAGGAGCTTGACTGTTGAGAAACCAAACCTTGTGTGGAGCGTATTGACCAATTGCTTGCATCTTCTTGACTTCTTCAGGCAGGTTTTTGGTTGGTTGTTTCTTCCAGTCATGTTCTACTAGCTCTCTAGTGTCCAAGACACTCTTACTTGTTTTATCCCTGTATAAAGGCTTTTTGGTGTCTGCCTATTTCAGAACCCCTCATTCTCTGCCATTTTCTCTGGGCTGCTAACCTGTTTGTATGCTGAGCGCTATTGAATCTCCTGTCAGCCCCTCTTAAAGTCTCAATCTGAGGGTCGAGCGTTGAGCTTCAACAAAAGTGGCTTTAACGGCTGTTGTCACTGAATAAAGACCACACACGATCTCACAGACAGATCCTAATGACAAGTGCCTGAACTTTTCATGGAGAGAGATAGACAGAAAGAAAGCAGGAAGCAGATCTTCAGTTATCATTGATGGCAAATAGGTTTAGTATTTCATGTCCACGGCATGCTATTGTTATGCCACACTCGCACACTCATGTTCCAATAGATGAGGTCTGTACTACGGTTTTAATAATACACTGTGATTTAAAATTTTTTAAAAATATCTGTGGAAGTAAACAGCCTGTTGCTGCAGTTTCCCAGGAATGCTCCATGATAATTCAGGCACAGTATCTTATGAAATAATGGAGCAATGTCAGTATATAAGACTGTGCAAAAGTGAGAGACCACCCTTTGTTTATTTTTTTTTCATTCAAAATTAAGTATATTTTTTCTTTTTTCAGGCGATATTTCTAAGGACTACATATAAGATAATCCATTTGCGTACAGAAGGGAAAATCGAAAGAAAATAAGTAAAAAAGGAGTTTCCAAAACTGGAGTTAAAAATAACTGGAGTTCATTAATAGATTCAGAGAAACTGGAACTTCTAACAACCATGCAAGAGGTGGTACAGTGTCACCATCAGATAAACAGAACTGAAAGCTTTCTTTTTTTCTTTGAGAGAGAGGAGAAAATCAAGCTCCACTCGTACTTCAAATCTGAAAAATCCACAGGTGTTTCTGTCCATCCTTCCACTGTGAGAAGACAACTCAACACTATGAGTCTGAAAAGATGTGCAGCCTGTCAAGAAACTGTTTCAGAGAAACGGACAAAAAAAATGGAATTCACACTAAAATGCTGGTGTTCAGCAATGGACTGACCACCCCAGAACCCAGACCTCAACATCACTGAATGTGTTTGGGGTCACTTGGCTCACCAGAAGCAGAAATGCAACCAGTTTTTAAGACTGAACTTTGAAGGGGTGTAAAAATATCCCTACAGATTTCTTTGAAAAACTGAAAGCAAGTGGAAAAAAATGGAAGCTGTAAAAAAGTTAAAGGGTGGACATACTAAATACTGAAAAATTTTGTTATGTTTAGTTATTGGAACCATTTTAATTAGCAGTGGTCTCTGACTCTTGCGCAGTAGTATAATAACAGTCTGTATTAGTGCTATTCCTAGTTTACCCTGTAACTCTTTCCTGTTTTTATTAATTTGAAAAAGCCTACTTCTTTTTAAATTGTGTGAATTGTTGCTTACAAATAGAGCCATACAAATGGGCCAAAATCTCATTATTTTACTTTAAAATCTCATTACTTAACATTAAAAGTTAGGAATGACATCATTCTCCTGTAAAGTTACAGTTTCAGAGATTATAAGTTTATGACTGGGACAGTCATAAAGATATTTAATAATACCTTAGTAATACCAAAAAATACTAATTTTGGTTACTGATATTGTAATAGTTTTTTTTTATAACAGCCCATTCCTGATCTGCAGTTTTTTAGCTGTTCCTAACACACTTGTACTGAATAGTACAGCTGTAAATATCCATTAACATGCTTTAGATGTGCTAGAAAAATCCCCTCTAGGCACTTCATATGAGAAACCGTGTTTTTCCTGAAGCTTTTCTTAAGGCCATTTCTGTCTGCCATGGTGAGTCCAATCTGTCACAGTGGATGAGTGTGGAAGAACAGAGGAGGAATGAGTGATGGGAGGGGGTGAGGAGAACGCGACTGATGGGAAAGGGAGAACCATTAAAATAATCTCATACAGAAGTGACCTGGGCAGCTGGCAAAAGGGCAGTGATTGAGGGAGATAAAGGACGCACACTGAGAAAAACACACACACATGCTCGATTTTTCTGTCTCAGTCAGAGCGTTCAGACTTTTTCAGTCACTGTCTTTTTCTTTACACTGCCACATACACACACCCGCACACACACACTCCATTAGAGTGTTTGATCAGTGTCACTATAACACAGCATCGTTACTCCTCCCACTGAATGTATGACATGACCATCACAGCTCTGCTTACTGATAATGTACCTTCCAGATTACTGAAGGTACATCAGGGAGCCTGTAGACAGGCCATAAGTAACACACGCATGCACACGAGCTGTAGAACCAGATGAACTCACTGATCCATCTATCATAAGGTCACGGCATGGTCACACTAAAGATGACAAAGCGCTGCCTCCCTTTATTATTGCTTTAATAAAGAGGCCATCTCCCTGACCCACTCGCTCTCTTGCTCTTGTCCTACCTGTGTTCACTCTCTGTGTTTTCTTCCTCTCCTGCTCCTCTAGGTTGTCTTCATTAACATATTTTAGAGGATAAAAATCATATGTAGCTGTATGAGGAGTGGGCAATATGCCAAAATATATGTTTAGATTTTTATATAATTTTAATCGCATAATACTTCAAAATATTTTATGATACAAAATACATATTATGGTAGTTCATTTTTGAGGGTTTGATAAAATGAAAAAGGGATGGTGCATGGTGCCAGAACAGTAGAGCCACTTTAAAAACACTATGAAAACTAAAAGTCCAGTGATTTTTATTTAATGTGTCTGTAACGCGATAGAATCAAACAGACGCGTGTGGATGAAAAACACTGATGAGGCTTTACTGGTTTAAGGAAGTTCCGAACTCGTCACAAAACAGTCCAATGTCAAAAATCCAAAACGATACAAAACCAGAGAGTAACATTCATACCAAAGTCCAAAGGGTCAGGCAGCAAGACAGAAACGGAATAAACAGGCCAAAAGTCAAACACAGGAAATCAAACTGGTAATCGAAAGAAACGCTCAGTAGCTCTGAGGACAGACGCAATACCTCGCAAAATACCCAAGCTTCAGCCCCGGCTTATAAAGCTAGCTAAACAGACCACATTATAAACAGAACAGGTGAACAATAGGTTGTGCCTCCCAAGGGATTCTGGGACTTTGAGTCCTTGCTGGAGGAATGCGTGACAGTTTCATGTATTGTGCATCAGAGCATTCAATTAAATAGGACTGATGATGCTCTCCAGTAGGAACTTTGATCTTTCAACTACAGGAAAAAAACCTTAGGGTTGTGTGATTCTTCTTTTGTAAGCTCACACTGCTGTTTACCTTTTGTTTGTCTGGAGGATTAAAAGCTCCGTCCACTATGAGGCCTATCAGGGCCAAAACATTTTCTGCTCCTTCTTCTGATTTTGCACAGATTCAAGTCAATTAATGAACATGTGCTCAATCTACACCTGCATCCAGAAACCTTTGCTAGTGCTCTGGTCCTCCCTGTCCCTGTCCCTTCCCACCGCTCCTCTCCTACCCTTCACTTTCACGTCATCAAATTTGTTGTCGACTATTGATGGATAATGCCCATTACAACATTCACTTAAAAGCACGTCCCTTTAGAAGAGGGAGTCCTTTTTTGCACAGAGAATGTCTTCTTTCCCCGTCATATCCGATATCTGATGATTTTCCAATCATAAGCTGGATACTGGAGACACAGTTGACACACATGGAAATTCCAGGTGTAAACAGCTCTCTACTTCTGATCAAGATGGAGGTTAATACCTGGTATGAACAACTGCTTGTTGTTTATCCTGAGAAGATAGAAACAGGTGATAGAGGTGGTTGTCATGATTTATTCAGTCTGCTGCTGCTGTAATTCCACACCATGGTGTACTGCCCCCACCATTTTAGTTGGTCTTCCAGATGTGCTGGGTAGTTTGTGAGAACGTGCACAACACTCTGAACCAGTGGTTTCCAAACTGGAACTCAGAGCCCCCTAGATGGTCCACATTTTTCCTTCATACCTATGAATTGCAAGTGGGGTTGGAGCAAAATTGTGGATCATCTGGAGGGTCCTGAGGGTCCAGGATCGGGTTGGGGACCACTTGCAACAGATGCTAAATGCCCTTGGACAGCTACTCCACTTGGAGCCAACAATTACAGTTATGTTGGTTAGTATTACTTCAGTAGTGACAACATTAGCAATGTGCTCAAAACTGCTTATTGTGGCATAATTGATCATAGTAGCGATATTATATTATCATATCACCCAACCCTAGTTTGTTCCCTGCGTAGAATAAAATAATCATTGTAGATCATGTAGGAAGAGTAGAGCTAGGAGGGAATGAGCCATCAGTGAATAGTGAATGTAAACAGGAGGATATCTGTCTCTTTCCTCTGTGCAGAACGTAATGGTCAACCATGGATCATGAGGATGAAGACGGTGAAGATGAGCAAGACGAGAAGAGGGACGGCATAAAACACTGCTTGGATTCCACAGAATCACTTTTAACCTGTGTGTGTGAGTGAGAGAGAGAGAGGAACTGTGTGTGTGAATGTACCTGCACACTTGTATATGTAGTAAGAAGCATGTTCATGTTAGGGAAAGAATTCCCTCTTTTGGTCTCGGAGTGACTGCAGGATGTTGTGGGATTGTGTGTGTATGTGTGCTGTTTGCGGATGATGTTGATTTGCTGTGATGTGCTCGGTTTGGCAGTGGAACATCTCTCACAATAAAACATCTGCACTACCACTCATTTCAGTGTGAACACTCAACCTTTGTCCTTTAGCAAAAGGCTGCATTCTAATGCGTCTCTCTTTCTGCCCCTCACAAACAGTACTGTGCAAAAGTCAGAGACTCATCCTTCCTTTATTTCCTTTTCAGTCAAAATGACCATTAAGTATATTAATTTTCCAGCATCAGCAATAAAGGAGAAAATTACACACAAGCCTCAACATCTAAATATAATATCTGTAGTTTCAGTATTTAGCGTGTCTGTCCTTTGCCTTTATTACAGCTTCCATTCTTTATGGGGGACTTTCTTTCAGTTTTTCACAGAAACCTACAGAAGTATTTTACCACACCTTAAAAGTTTAGTTGTAGAAGTTGGTTACATTTCCTGCTTCTCATAAAATAATCCCAAACACATTCAGTGATGTTAAGGTCTGGACTCTGGGGTGGTCACTCCATTGTTCTGAGAACACCAGCAGCTTCTATGTTTGATTTGCAGATTTTCTCTTTTTGTTTATTAGTATTAACATTTAATGTTGTTAATCCTTTAAGAATGTATGGAATCATTGTACCTGAATCGTGAGGTTAATATGGTGACACATTCTGCCTACATATTAGCAGATGTTTTAACATAAATATGTGATAAATGATTGGGGCGGCTGGCTCATACAGGATTTACAGGCTTCGGATACTCCTTGACATTTTCAAACATTTTCTCAAAATCACCCTTTAAAATATTAATGCTTGAAATGTCATTTTCAGTTAATCAGTGTTTCAGTTCACACAGTCTGTGCTAGATGCACGTCTTATGTCCATCGTAAACACAAGCCTATGGTGAAGCATAAACTCTATAGAGATCCAATCAATACTACGTTCTGTAGTGTTCTAATGTATATTCGAAATAATAATTTACTAAAATTTGATGATTTTGTTGGTGTAGTAGTTCCAGAGCAGCTCCCGCACTGTACTAACAGGGTGTGTAGGCTATTTTTCTCTGATGCCGCAGTGAAAAAATCTGCATAATAAATAAATCTGCTGATATTCCCACCTGAAGCGGTTATGTGTCGGAGCTGAGTCAGAGGCAGTATGGATTAGATCGGGGGTTCTTAACCTGTGGGCCGTGGACCACCAGTGGGCCGTGAAGCACCCTGTAGTGCCTCTTCTTTTAGCAGCACGGCGGTGCTATATTGTCAGCATAATCTGCCCATTTTAACGTCTCATTCTTTACAGACTTTCATTTGCTCTCATATAATGTCTGCAGCACGAGCATGAAATAATAGTGAATATATACGTTTGATTTTGGCTCATGGATAGAAACATATTTTTGGCCAAGGACCAGCGGCCTGAGTGGTGTATTGCTATTGTTGATTGTGTCAACGCTAATCCAAAAGCCCAGTGAGTGGAGTGTAGTTTAGCTATTTCAAATGAATTATAAAAACCCTCAAAACTAAAGAGAAATGTCGAGACCAGGGGACAGTGAAGTATTTTCAGCAAAAACGCAGTGTAGCTATTGCAGCTCCAAATTACAGTCCACGTCTACCTCATACATTTCTATACTTTTTGCTTTTTTTCCCCATTTTTTAACATCTGCAAATATATGTTTTCTTTAACATTATGTTGTTTTAATATAGGCCTAACTGCAAAGCTTGGTTTCTGTGATTGGATCGAATTAGTTTTCCTGTGGGCCGCTATGCTTTGAAGTTATACACAGGTGGGCCTTGGGGTGGAGAAGGTTGAGAACCCCTGGATTAGATAGTACTCAGATAAAGATCACTAGTCTGACATATTTAAATTGATTCAGCAGATGTGCCCCCACATACGGTTTCTCAGGCATCTGTGCTCTCTTAGTTTCAGTCGCCACATGGAAAGTCGCCAGTTTCCTGCACTCTGAGGTGAAGGTATGAATTTATAGTGCATTCAACTAAAGCAGCTACATTTTATTTATTTTTACCATTTATATAACTTCCATATATTGTAGTTTTTTTTTTACAATCGCTAAGAAGCATTTTTCAGTGCCAAGTTACCTTTTTTTTTAAACTCTTAACACCCCTTTCTGCAGACACATGCAGCTCAGAACAACACTTCATTTCATGCCCAAAATGCTCCACAGCTATAAAAACACTGCAGAAACATCTCAAAATAAATGAATTCCATAAAGACATCAACACTAGTGCTCATATAACCGGAAAACCTTGTCAATTAGAGTACAGTCATCCTCAGAAACATTAAATGGAGTTTGGGGGGAGGGGGGGGGACTGAAACTCCTCCTCCTTCCAATCTAATGTCCTGTAAATTCCCACCCCTCCATTCCCTGTGACAAAGTTTACGCAATCCCCAACACCACCTCCATCTCCTCCCTCAGTCCTATCAGTCCTACCACAGTTAAAAAGGGGATCCAGCCTTCTAGCTCCAGACAGAAGCCTCTCAGAACTCCAGCCCAAGTTCTGAAGAGTTCTCTCCCCTCCCTCAATCAGTCTTCCCTCATACCACCAATTCTTGTTTCCAAGCAAGAATTGCTTCCAGAAGTCAACGCAAGACAACCAATTTCTAAGGGAAGCGATTTTTGTTCATAAGCCGTGAAACACGCCAGCAGTCCCTGTCCGTCAGTTTTGCCTTTTGGCCATAATTTTGGCAAGAATTTCCTGTATACTGGGATTTTTCGCCACTGCTGGTTGACGCGGATGACCATACACCTGCAAATTCAGCTACTTTGTTCACACTGTGGCCTTTGGCAAGCACAAATGTAGTCACTCCTTTTTGCCAATCATAAACATCTGCTTTGCAACCCATTTTCCACACATTGAACAAGATTTTCACTGCACTGTACCACCTTTTCTCAATCTATGAATCCTGTCACACACCCGCAGGTATGTATAGCCCGATCATCCTTGTGCAACACCATCTGCAGGAGCCTGAAAGTACTAACAACTTAAACACACAAGGTGACTCATTTTTTGTCCGAGAGCTTATTTGCTCTGTAGCTTTGTTTTGTGCTTTAGCTTATTATTCTTTAACTGATTGTGTAAATGACTGTAAAATGTGAATCATGTCTATTCAAAGTGTTTTGACATTTGAATTGATGTAAAATATTGATTTTGTTCATCAAAACTATGCTTTGTGTTGTTTCATTGAAAATATTTGAGTCGGGTAAAACCAGTTCATTTTCTTGTTACCACAAAAACATTTTTTTAGGTTGAAGTGACAAAAAATGACAAACCTGAGAAGAGAATGGAAGAATTTTGGGAAGTATTATCACCGGAAAATGTCAAGGTTTGGTACAAACTGAGTGGTGTTGTGCAAACTGTGTGAAGAGTTTCCACAAAGAAAACTGAAAATGCTTGTTAGCAACTGGGAAAAACTGTAACTGTCACTGTTCCAACTAAAAGGCTTTTGCTAATGAAATGTATTTTTGGTTACAGTACATATGGGTGAAAAACAAATCCTGAAAAGAGAAACAAATAGCAATTTAATGAACGTTCGAGTATTCAAATTGTTCAGGCCTGCGCTATAAATGCAATCAGTTTTTAATAAGTGATCAATATTATAGAGGTTAAGTATCATTTCTCTTTAATAAGAGTAGAACACACATTCTTATATGAGGTTTTGACATGCGCTGTTCTCCCGTGAGCTGCTCTTGTCCCTTCACAGCTCATCTCCAAAGCAAATTATCTGCTGGAATCCTTAATGAACTCGCAAAGGTCTGTTCTGCAGTAACCCTGAAACACTAATAACTTAGTGTCTCTCCGTCTCTCCCTCTCTTTCTCTCCCTCCCTCCCTCCCTCTCTCTCTCTCTCTCTCTCTCTCTCTCTCTCTCTCTCTCTCTCTCTCTCTCTCTCTCTCTCTCTCTCTTCTGAGTTTCTGCATTTCTTCTCTCTCTAAGCTTGAGTGCAGAAACGTTCAGGTAGCTCTTACAAGTTTTGACATCTCTCAGCATTGTTCAGGTATTGTTGCCATGGTAACTGCAGTGTGTGTATGTATGTGTGTGTATGTGTGTGTGTGTCTTCGGTAGAGAGGTTCAGAGGAAGTGTGATAACCTTTAGCCTCCAAAGTGCAGTGCTCTCCCCGTCACCGATTCCTTTTATTAAATGCTGCTTTCTCCTCTCTCTCTTCCTGCTTTCGCGAAGCATCGCCGCTCTTTGTGCCTGTGTGCAGCACCGGGAGTTTCTCTGAGCTGTTTTTTGACCCCAATAAGCACTGCTTTGGTATGGAGGATTGAATCTCTCGCTCACATAAATGGGAAGAATTGGCCCTCAAGACCTCCATGTGCCACCTCCATCTTCTCCCTGTTGATGTGGCAGTGGCGGCTCTGCAGTCCACCAAACCCTGACCACACTAGTCAAAATGACAGACTGCAATGCAGCGTAAAAGAACATCAAAATAGATGTGTTTTGTAAGTGAATGTTAAGAATTATTGCTATACCTTTGATTTTTACATTAAAATCGCTGAAAGCATTAAAGGGGAATTCTAAAAATGATTCAAAATGTCTCCATAATGAAATGGTTAAGATCTTTCAGAGTGGTTTGGTATAAAATACTCCATTCTAGAGAAACTTACCAAGACAGAATTGTTCAGGAACCAGACGTCTGAAGCGACTTTATAGAAAGCTATCACATGAAATGGTTATGAATATTATCACTGTTCAAAAGATTTTAAAAAAGTATCTTCATTTTTTCTGCCTTTTATTTTTTTACATCATTTGTGCGCACCAGCTCTCCAATATGTGAAAACTACAGAAACAGATAATAGAAATGCTTCAGAACTGCTTGGAAATAAATCTCTTTACATTGACTCACATTAAAGAATGTGTTTGCCTTGTGCTGTAAAGTTGCCATTTAAAAGGTGCTTATTTTTTTTGGACAGTGACTTTCATGATAGTTCTGAGATTTAGAGTTTGGCTTAAGACTTAATACTTTTTAAAATAAAATAAATTCAGGGGGCGAGGTACCTGCAGGCATGCCCGGATCATCAATTTATGGGCCCTCTGGGCACAAATGTTTGGTGGGTCTCTACTTGGCTACCTTTTT